GAGGCGGAGTACAGCCTTCCCAAATCCGGCACTGTCCGAAACGCTTCCTTCCAGTCTTGTTCCACGCTTCATAACGCAAAGTGTATGGCTGCATAGACACCTGAATTCGGTAATAAAGCACATAGCGCATGCGCGACACAAATTGCTCTTATCAAGTAAAGCCATTTCCTCAAACGGCGACGTGGTTCATGGAGCGAGGGTCTGGTCCGAGAAACCTTACACAGCTTTCTCTTTCTGGGATAGCCATCAGTCACCAGCCACACGCTCACAAGACTTCAGGTGTTGCCAAACTTTACAAGCGATCTGTACTACTTACTGCGATAAAGGGCGGGCAATCACATGGGCTTTTCGACCTTGCACCGAGTGTGGCATCATATTTGCATCATTATATCGGGTCGATTGCTTCAAACAAAACCGGTACCATTAACCGGGATAGTAGATAGTAAAGAGGATCGTGCCCACTGCGTCCCCTTGGTTGCGGCGCCCTTGCCAAACAGAGTCCGTGGGCAGCCGCAGCCCCGTGTGATAATTGTCGAGAGATCGGCTCATATTTGTTCCACAATCCACACCATACACATTTTCCACATTTCATTTCGTGAAACGTGCATCAAAATGGGCCAATACCGAAATGCTTTAACAGGGCCAATACTGAAATGCTTCACCGGGGCCAATATCGAAATGCTTCACTAGGGCCGATATGGAAATGCTTCACCGGGGTCAATATCGAAATGCTTCACTAGGGCCGACATGGAAATGCTTCACCAGGGCCAATATCGAAATGCTTCACTAGGGGCGATGTGGAAACGCTTCAGCTGGGCCAATATCGAAATGCTTCACTCGAGCTCATATCGAAATGCTTCAGCAACATCACATTTGATTCTCCCGTCAGACACCGCCGAAGATCATCGGAAGCTCTGCCCCCTAGAAATTCGAACCTAACTGTAGAAACTGTAGCCGGTTTCTCAAAACAGAAATTCGTCGATATTTAGCGCAAATCGCACATTTTTGGCATGCAATCGTATAATCCAGCATTTCAGAGCAAAAATAGACGATTTGCAACCAGAATCCACGACACTTAAAAATTCACAGAAAATGTTCTATCCACAACAAAAATATACGCAAACAATCTTGACCCCTGACGTTAGCCTCGCCTGGTACACAAAAATGCTTGAATCGTCAGAATACCATCACCGTTATCACTGCCGTACCAAGAACTTGAAGACGTTTACCAAACGTCAGAATAGCGTCACAGGACTGACAAGGCATTTCGGGCAGCCCTGACAGCGTTATTTGACAACGCCTTTTAACGTCATATCTCTGCTTTTTTAATGGCCGAAGTATTTTTAGCTTCTTTGAAGATATCACAGTGAGACATTCCAAGAGCCTCCGTTTTTTGACATTTGGTCTTTACGAATTGCTGGCATCATCTCAAAACATCTTTTTGGCGTCATTTCAAGATGCGTTCAAGGTGCCCTCCGTAGGTTATTTAAAGACGTCCTTTTGACTAGTTAGAAAAACATCGTGCAGTTTCGTGGCGCATCCTTGAGATCATGTGTAAGAAACGTTCAAGTCGGGTTAAAACCCACACGTCTTGAATCTGAATCTGAATGTGCGGAATAACGCACCTGCGATTCTTAAGTTTACGCCGCTGGGTCGCTCACTACAAGACGTCGTCACGGCGAACAATATTTAGCATGCCACGTCATGACAATGTCTTGTTACGACTCAAAGGCAAGACCGGCAGTAATGCAGTAATGCAGTAAGTAGCAGTAATGCAGGTCCTCCTCATAACAGAGCACAAACGGGGAACACAAAACACCAAGGGCAACAATTTCCTGGTGCCGCCTGCTTTTATCTAAGCGGTAAAAAATGTTTAAAATCTTGCTCACGATTGACATTGAAATAACCTTTAACATATCATTGTAACATGTTGATAAATTACGTTGCATTTCTTAGGTAGCTCTGTCTGGTAGGAACAGAGTAGTACGCATCACTTGAGGTTTACGCACGCATCTGGGATCTTGCGCCTCACTGATGCGCCGACACCTGATAAGTCGAATGATTCTAAATTACCCTACCATAGTATTGTTAACCCTGATGATGCGTATAACTGTATACGAGTACTCTATTTCGGTGGAAGTAGCATTGCCGACACCAGAGCTGTAGTGGGGTTGATGTTTTATGACGCCCTCTCGGCTGCCCCTCACCCTGGCAAACAGGACGGACACCGCGGGGAAGCGAACCCGCACCTCCGGTTTTTCGCATGCGTAGCTTAGCCATTTCCCTATCGGCGACCTACACATCAGATGTGTGCACACGTATGTTGCAATGTCTGAGTCATGTATCAACATTTAAACATGCGTAAAAGTTTGTCATTCAGTGGTGCTGGCGCGTCCTCTCAGTCTGCCTCGTGACTCGGGACTACATGATGCCCTTCAACCCATTCGGAACATGTTGGAGCAATGGGATTCGGGCATAGGCAGACGGGTAGTAATGGTGCAACTCCTGCAGGTTATACTGAGCCAGAACGCAAAATAACACTGGCGAAAGGCTTGCACCCTTAATTGTGCGATTCAAATGCAAAGCCCCTGTGAGCCTTGAAGGAAGAGCATTTGGATCCCAGGCGAGCTTATCTGAATGACAGAGACCGCGTGCCCATTTGGAAGTATGGTTCGCAAGACTTCTGTAGGCTGTCGCCAGTCAATTGAAGCTACGTGAATGCCAGCAGGGCAGAATGCCATCACTCGCTGCCGCATCGGGGCTGTTCAGCCCAACATACTTATACCGACATCTTCCGGCAGAAACAGAAAGATCTCGTTCCTCAAAGCTCTACCAATCCGTCTTGCGCGTGGCATGCTGTTATCTCCGTCTGATACATTTGAGTACGGAATACATCCGTTCGGGTTCGAATCCGAATTCATAGCCACTGAACGCGCAACCACAAAAAAGCGTGTGCAAAAAAAAGTTCAGTGGATCAGTGACAAAAACCGTATCAGATAAATACCAAACGGAGCATCGGATTCAGGGTTGTGCGCTTTTACCGCAGCAATACGACCTGGACGGCGCGTAAACAAGACGACCCAGTGCTTACAGCCGGTCTGAAGCCGAAATGTTTCATATATTTCGATGATATAAATGCAGCACTCGCTCTCTGATCCCCGCCCACACGTAACATGAGCATGAACCTGTCGCACACGCACACGGGCTGATCCTAAGCCGGTCACTGCACGGCAGACAGCTTGAAGCGGCAGATGCGGGAGCAAACGCTGAGTTTCTACGAGCCCCGGGGCCGTTACGACGACAGATTGACCAGTTGCAGGTAGGGGAATCGTAGGAAGGGGGGGGGGTTACATGACACCGGTCGGTGGGGCCGACTGCAGCCTCCTGCCAGACCCTGTGACCCCGACCAGCGGCACGACCTGCACCGGGGACAGCGACGCGCCAAGGTCGGCCGGACAACCGGCGCCGCGCCCCGCCAGACCCCGTCTGGGGTCAGCTAAGGCCAATATCACGGGCGCCATCCTTCACGGACCGATGCGCGAGGCCGCGCAACGCGGTACGTTCCGACCATTCCTGTCAATTACCATACGGTTTTACCCAAAACATTGCCGCCTTGCACAAAGGGCGCGCCAACAGGATCAGAGCGACGGCAAGGTTTACACCACAGTTTTAGCTCTCTGCCCCACCTGCCGAGCCCTCGTCCAACTCAACCCTCTCACGGCGTGCTAATGATTCGCCTATTCACTGAGACTGGTGAGAGGGTAGCCACGTGCTCTAGATGCAACAGCAAACACATTACGGCGGCTTACTGCTAACGCGCTACAGTCCCCGTGAAACGGTCGTCCCAGAATGCTAATGTGGGCCCGACCATGCTCTCAGTCGCCCTGCCGCCCCAGTGCCGGGCTTCGGCCGGCCCTGGGCGGGGCCGTGCAGGCCGGCTCCGACGGAGCATGTGCCAGGCACGCTGCACCGCCGCGGCCAAAGGCACGCTCTCGGCGACGGCCATCACAGGCGCGTGCCCTCGCCACCGCGCCCAGCTAGAGCGCCGCCGCGACAGCAGCGCGACGCTGAGCCAGAGAGTCGCTGCTGACGCTGCCAACGCCGAGCCAGCGAGCTACCGCGACAGCGAGACGCGAGGCGAGTCAGCGGGTGTCCGTCCTGGCAGCGGGACGGCCGGCCGACGCCTGTCAGTGGTCGCAGAAGGGCCCAGCTCTCAGAGCAGCCCAAAGGGACCAGCTGGCCGCCGGGGAACGGAGCGTTGGAAGCCTTTCGTCGCCAAGGACTGCAATCACAGTGAGGTCCAGCGCGCCGGCGGCTCGTCAGCACCCTGCATAAACGGCATGGAGCCCAGCCACGCAACAAACGAGGCAGCTGCCACAGCTTGCGGCGCGTACCACACCCACGTCCGGCAGCACCAACAGAAGCGTCTCAGACTTGAACATAAGGAAACACAATCACACGGCTGAAAATGGCCAAAAACGTCCCCCGTCGTCCGTCGTCCGTCGTCAGAGCACGCCAAATATCCAAAGCTGGCTGCTCTTGCCATGAATACAGTGCGGCGGACACCAGACCTGGGACAACAGAATACAGGGGCGGACGTCCGCTTAGAGCCCAAGCCAACAGCATTGGCAACTTGACCCCACTGCCGAAATCATGTACCTGATGGCACTCCGCACTGCCCAGATAGCAGCCTCAGACCTGATGCTCACGCATCGCCCTCCCTCTCGTGCCCCAGACTAGGCGTCCGCGTCGTTCCGCCCCCGACCAAATGGCCACCGCACCCCGCCCCCGAGCGCGATCCCCGCAGTCACGCCGCGCCCAGAGCGACAGGAGCGTAGTCGCCACCTGCGGCCAAACGCTGGATCAGGCCGTATCACGGACGGCCCCGCGGCCTCGCTTGTGACCTCCAATCACGGATGAGCGCCGGCGCCACGCGGAGCCGGCGGGGGCCGACGGGTGCGCCAGGCGCGGGCCGACTGCGGGCCCGCCGAGCGGCCGGCAACCCCGCGGACTGGGCGGCGCGGCAGGCTAGCTGACCCGCTCACAGAGCGGCCGCCCCATGCGCACCGCCTCGCCCGGCCGCACGCAGAACTCGAACGTCTTGGGCGCCTCGAACACGAGCACGATGGTGGAGCCGAGGTTGAACTCGCCGAACGGCTGGCCCTTGCTGCAGACGGCCGGCCGGTCGGCGTCGGCCGGCGTCGGACGCCAGTCGAAGTGCTCGCCGGGCCTCCAACGGCCGCTGTTGGTGCGCAGCGCCTGGCGACAGCGGGTCACGTCACGTCACGTCACGGCCGGTCGAGGCTCGGCAGGATGACGACGGTCGGCACACCGCCTCAGCACGCGCCGAGGTCGGCAGCGCAGGTCACAGCAGGGCCGGAGGGAGCGTCTGGTGGACGCTCCGCCCGGCCCTGCTGTGTCACAGTATACCAACACAGGGGCGCCGAATCTGGAAAAAAAATCAGCGGTAAAAGGCCGGGGAATGCCATCACAACCATGTCAAAGGCCATCACAATGACCGCGGCATGCTGTTTGCTGTTGTGTTTTTCAGGGCTTGTTCTTTCACTTGATACATAAATGCCTCAGCGTCCTACCGCCTCGCCAGATGTTGGTTAAGGATCTTGGCTCCCATTATCCCAGCGTACACAGCCACCTTTTATGGTGCTATTCTCAACGAAAACTTCATTATTTGGTAAAAGTCGTTTGTTTAGGGAATGAAACCACCGTTGTAGAAAAAGACAGGTTGCACAAAGCAGATGACGATAGATAAGATTCCAAGTCAGGTATTGACTGCAACGCCAAACAATACAGCACGTTTAAGGTACGTGTCAAAGTAATGTTTCATAAAATTAATCACATTGCTTCCGCACTGGGAGCCCAGATCCGTCCCTCACCCCCAACTAAGAGGGCAATAATCAAGCCAGGAGTCGGCGCATCTCATCCTCCGGTGGCGCAGGTCATGCCCTTAGTTTGGGATGATCGGATCACAACAGGCCCCGGGTGACGAGCCAACTTTATGCGTGTGGTGTCGCATGGTCCGAAGACTATGACGCTTAATCATTGTTAACACTTCAGCCATTGTCATGCTCCTGGGCACGAGAACATCTGTTTCGACGGATGAATGATGCTGGCCGACCATTCCCACTCCGAAAACGAATGTTACGCTTGCAAAATTGGGCCAACTTTCATAGCACAGCCAGAAAAAACAGCAACTTTTAACGACCTCCCCCTCCCCCACCACACCCACACACGCGTTGCCCCTTACCTCATCGCAGTACACTCGAATCGACCCGACGTTGGTGGCGCCGACAGCGGCGAACGCGAAAAAGCCTTGTTGCCAGCGTCCCGTATAGATGGCGCGCTCGTTGAGGCAGAACACGCCGGCGATCCAGTTGGCCACCAGCGGGCTGACCGAGAGCAGGTCGCCCGGGAAGTGGCGTCGGTGCCGCACCGTCCAGTCGGCCGGCGCGTGGAACCGGTGGTAGTCGCCCGGCGCCAGGTAGATGACGCAGTGGTACAGCGTGTTGCCGGGTGACGTCACCAGCCGCTGGTGGTAGCACGCGTCCGTCCCCTCCGACTCGGCGTCCGCCTGAGGTCACGCACTCTTAGTCACGCGGGCGGCAACACAATCCGCCGACCTGACAAGTCTGATTGCCCGTAGACGGGCAGGTTTCGAGCGTTCGCAATCGTGCACGCAGTAAAAAATAGCGGATGTCTTAGTTGAATGAAAAATTAACTACAACACAATCATTCATGCTGAATCGTTTCAGGAAGATGAGAATTGACACCCCATCGAACACTGGCATCTTCAAACGCAGTCCGTTTACACGCTCCAAACTTGTTTCTACAATAAGCACACACACCGTCCACCACAGACATCAGCTCAGTAGCACCTTTCAGTAAGTCGGACTGTTGTCTTTAAAAGCGGACTTTCCAAACTAGCATATAACCTTAGCAAGTGGGAGGGGAGGACGTGGCGCTGACCACACGGCCGTGCAATGTGCCAAATTCGCGATTTTACATTTCACATGGCGTACGTGAAGAGGAGTTGGAGCTCCTGGTCCTCCAGTATTACAGAGCGGTCATTGAAAATAATTTGATATAAGTAGGAAGACCTCACGGCTTCGTGTTCGTCAGCACTATGAGATATAAGGAAACAGCCGAACTTGGACAAACATGCCAGGAGGTGCTGGTTAAACGAAGATAACGCACAGTCATTGTGATAAACTGTGAGAATGAGAGTGAGAGATGAAATAATGACGGCCATTTGAAGACAATGCCACACAATCACTGAAATGTATTGAGAATATTTGAATCAGGAACTAGTTATGCGACATCTTGAACATATGTAACATTTTGTTTCTGCTGCAATGACCGCTATATTCTTTACTAGCATCTACAGTATACTAAAGGCCAGCTACGGTCAGCATCAAAATCCTGTTGTTTACATAACATGGCTGCAAGAAGGCGACACTTATTGTCTGGGTCGATGTAAAACACTGAGAAAACCCATCGCCTATGTCAGGATTTCATCGTCAAATACAGACAGCAGCTCAGCAAATCCTCCACCTCGACGCAACCATACTGCGCGTTGAACGCGCAGCCATACTGTGCCCACCCGCCCACCCAACCACCCACTCACACCCACACACCCCATACCCACACCCACACACCCCATACCCACACCCACACCCGCACACCCGCACACCCACACACCCCCATACCCACACCCACACCCACACACCAACACAATCCCATACACACCCACCCACACACCCACACCCACACCCACACCCACACCAACACCCACGCCAACGACCGCCGGTGTGATACAATAACGTCAGCGCACATACCTGGGCTTCCGTGTCCCAGTCGGCCGGTCCCAAGAACTTATTGAGCGTGTAGGTGACGCCCTTGACCTGCTCCAGTTTGCCAGAGTCCACCGGACCCAGGTGCAGCACCGTGCCGTCGCAGGGACTGACCTGCCACCGCAGCACAGTCATCATACGCTCAGCTCACGCCGGGCACGCCTTCAGACAGACCTCATGTGCTGGCGGGTGTCTGGTGCTGCCTGACGCACGTCAACGAACGGCACTGCTCCGCACCCAAGGGTTTAGCCGCCAGTTCGCGTGCGCCGGTCCTGAGCCGCGGATGTCACGTGCGAATCCGGTGCCCTTTGCCACAGTGCCGATTCCGGCGAGTCAGTCTGGCCCCGTGACTGCACACCCATACGATGTGCCATGCATCGGCACATCAGGGGGAACACCAGGGGAGGTGGGATCCTACGGACAGCAGTCAGTCAGAGCTCTGACGGGGTGAGGAGGTGGGATCCCACGCGTTGTCCCCGTCCAGTCATCCGTCCTGAGCCTGGTGCGGTGGTGCGGTCCATCCCAGCGGCGGGTGCGGTGTGCGGTGCGCGGCGCTCACCAGGCAGCTGTACGGGTCGATGGGCCGGGCGTCCGGCCGCAGCGCCCGCCGGAAGAAGGCGCCCAGATTGTCGTACTGCAGCAGGTCCGGCTCGGCCGCTTCCTCCAGCTGGCAGCCGAACGTCCGCGCGTACCTGCCGAACGGCCGCCGGTCAGGCCACAGGCGGGGAGGAGTCCCACGGGCTGCGGCCAGTCCGACCACAGGCGGGGAGGAGAGGTGGGGATCCCACGGACTGCGGCCAGTCAGACCACAGGCGGGGAGGAGTCTTACGGACTGCGGCCGGCGGTCAGGCCACAGGCGGGAGGAGAGATGGGGGATCCCACGGACTGCGGCCCATCAGACCACAGGCGGGGAGGGGAGATGGGGATCCCACGGACTGCGGCCCGTCAGACCACAGGCGGGGAGGGGAGATGGGGATCCCACGGACTGTTATCAGTCCGAGCAGAAGGCGGGTAGGAGCCGGGCGGGGATCCAACCGACCGTGGCCCATTAGTGACAAACAAGTAGGGCCTAATGGGGATCCTGTGGTCGGCGGCCAGCAGAGCAACCGACTCTGAGATGTGATGGGATGGCTGAGATGGGATGGTATGGCTGAAATGGGCTGGGATGGGATGGCTGAGATGGGATGCACCAGACGGCCGCTGGTCGAAGCGCCACACGCAGACAGCCTGTGCTAAGGTTGTTGCTGAAGGCTAATAACAGCACCACACACCTGATGGACTCCTTTCTCCATTTCGGGTCAGTTCCACAAAAAAGTGATTGCCGGCTTCATATTGTTACAGCTGTTATGACTATAGCATCACTAGAGGACATCTAGGTATATGCTTTCACCGCTTTGCACAATATAATGGCAAGACAGCGGACTACGCAGTTACTCAATCCATAACACATTCACGGCTGCTGAATTCCACCGTGAAGAGAAACGCGGGCGCGGTCGCCAGTGGCCGAGCGCAAACGACTGACCAGCCGAGCACGGGCCTCCTTGCCCAGACGGGCAGGTAGCAGCTGTTGATCCAGCCCCAGGCGCGGCTAAGGCTCCGCAGCGGCAGCAGTCGGTAGGCGCTCACCTGGCCGGCAGCGACACGACACAGCCGTCAGGCCCGGCTCGTGAGCCGGGGCCGTGACTCACGCCGGCGTACCCGGGCAGCGAGCGGCAGGGCCGACACTCGCGCAGGGTGGAAATAACACAGACGTGGCTGTACGGACTAGGGCGAGTACATCTCAAACGGCTGTGTCACAGGTCTTCCCTTCCAGCATGCGGCCGTCCGTCTTCGCAGTTCATAAACACCTGTCACATCTGCGTTGCGTTACACTGCAGAATCCCGCGAAAAGCCTGCAGAGCTAGGCGACCTGATTAGGATTAACACCAGTCCCCCTCCGATGAACAGTCAACCATGCACTCCGCCGGCCCCGTTGCGGTCTGACCGCCACCATGGACACCGCACCAGTCGGAACGTGTCATCCCGGACGGCGCGAGCACGCCCACGCCCCCCTCCCCCTCACCTCCCAAGGCCGAGCGATCACGGGCCCGTGCACGCCCCCCTCGGCGGTGCGCTTGCGCTCGCGCACCAGCACGTGCCGGTACTGCTGGTACGCGATCAGCGCGAACCCCACGCCCAGTGGGATCGGCGTCCAGCGCAGCGAGCGCAGGTACGTGCCGAGCCGCGACGCCCAGCGGGACCCGCCCTCACTGGACGTTCGCGGACCTGCCGACAGAGTGCGCGATGAAATGCGTCTGATCACAACTGCGTCGAAGTTCACAGCGAAGAGCATGTGAGGAAAGAGGAACATCGTGAATTAAGCGCGAAGAACATTGCATGAAGAACGTCAATTTCCGTCGTTTCTCAACGCTGCTTAAGTTTAAACTAAGCATCGATCTGAGTCGACTGCAGATGTGCGCGCCTACGCTCGACCCCAGTCCGGGCGGCGCTGACACGGCCGGGAGTCGGGAGCGGCGCGCACTCTCACCAGACGTAGAGACGTGTCGGCAGGCGTGTCCCGGTCGGGCGGGCCACAGTGACCTGGTGTCGAGCAGGACGCGGCCCGGTCCGCCGTGGGACCAGCGCAGCACCAGACTGCCGTCCCGGAACGCCATCCTGCCGGGCCGAGGCGGCGATGTCGGACGGACGGGTCCGGGCGGCCCGACGGGCGGCCCACACGAGAAACACAAAGCACATGCAACACATGAAGCTAGCGGGCCGGCATTTCCATTGGTCTCCACTGCTGGTTGGGATTGGGGATCGGCAGCGCCAAAGCCTACGTAAAGTGACTGAGTCATCCAGAACAGCCCCCCAGTTTACCATACAACAACGGCCCGCAGCCTTTTCTAGGCTGCGACACAATTTCAGACTGCGAATCGCCCCCGGTATCCTTGTTTTCTGGATCAGAGCAGCGCCAGCACGTAATCATGGCACTGCAAGCAGGAACGCGCGTTCGGCATTTGTTTCACTTTCCCCTCTAGCGTGTCGTGCTATGACGAGCAAGGACACAAGTTTTGAGAAAAAAAACAGCACAGAAAATTGAGAACTGGTCTCGCAGCGATTATCAGAGTTGAAAACAGTGGTGTGCTGAATGACACTTTTTGTACCCATGGGGAAGGGGAATGTGACAAGAATTCATTCAGATGTTTAAACTGGCGACAAAAACGCTTTTCATGCGTCAAAACAACCCCAACATGAAAAATGGAAATACCTGGAAGAACAGCCGCGCCAAGTACGATATTTTTACGATTTCAGAACTTTTTCGAATTCTCAACGATTTTCTTTCATTCGAAATACGCCCCCGGTCCCTTCCCAGCCATGGCGACTTGGTGACTCAAACGGCGAAGCCTTCGTGGCCATCAGACACCGCTCACGATTACAGCATGCGGTGGTTTGCAGAACCACAGGCTTGTTGTCAACTCGCTTCGGTAATTCCTATTCTAACGCAAAACCAATGCGCAAATTTATAACAATACGTAGTAAAATGCAAAATAAGCAACAAGCAACTTTATGGGATTGTCTACTACGACGTTAGCAGTGTAGTACATTTCGTGGTGACCTGTGGCACGGGTTCAAGGCACGGTGTTACCCGCCCGACAACCTTTACTTGGGTTGTCGCGCACCTCGAGCTAATCCGAGACCACGCTTTTCCAAACCGTAAGGGGTATAATGTCTATCAAGGACAGAATGGTCAACTATTGATAGCGGTGGGTTTCACCATCATCAGAACAGCCCAATGTGTATTCACGTCATGCTGGTCTCCGATAATTATTTGGTACATTTTTATATGATTGGTTTCCGTCGGACTCTGCGGACCCGATTAAATAGGTCCAAAGGCTCAGGGTAGTAGGTACCTACACTACGAGCCACCCTTGGGTAATCCATGCTTGGGTGCACGCCAGTTACATGAAGAATAATGTTTAACAGCGAGCCGGACAATAACCATTCCAAAAGCAGCTCATAACACCCCTTTAAAACCATACCCTTTTAGCAGGAAATGTCTGACAGCGGACATATCGCCCCCAGCTTGGCCAGCGGCGCTGTAAGCGCGCTCCGACGGTGACCTTTGCCTAGGTCGCGCCACAGCGGCCAGCTATTCACTACTACAGACGGCTCGCAGTCGGATCGTTACTGCACGCCTAGTAGCGGTCGCGTGGTGCCCGCAGGCCATGACGTCGGTAAGGCTGGAGGCGGCAGCGGCCGCAGTCGATCACGCGGCGGACCGCCAGCACGGCCGGTCCAACAATCGGCTCCCGCATGCCTGCACACTGGGGCATTTCACGGGGATATCCGCCCGGGATTTCACGGGTTGGGTAAACCCATGCACACCTATTCGCACGAGTAACGAGCTGAGTTGAGTGGATCCGTGGATACCCGTAAGGAATCAATAACGGGCTGGGTTGGGTACAATTTTGGAAACATTATGGGTGAGGCGTTTACGAAATGTTGAGCAGATTCAGAAATCATTGCAAAATATTGCTGATCGCGCTTATTCAAGTCATAATTAGCCCCACTCACACCACTTTTGTGATCATCCACGCAAAAAAGTGAGTTGGGGCGTAACTTTTCCTCCAACTCTTCCACAATTCAAAATTGAAGTGTAGGGGAAGTGGAAGCGGGTGTACAACAGATGCGTACGTACAACTGATCAGGAATGGATAGCAGATGGTAATGGGCACAGGCCAATGGGAAGCAGGTGAGTAGGATAAATGAAACCTTCCCGTGAGGGCCTTTACTCCACATTGGCCCGAGTTTGACAGAAATCTACAGAAATACAAAAATTATACAGAAATCGATCCCGGTAGGAACTGCTCAATATATCTTGCTCACACCCACCACACCGTTCCACACGTCTTGTCTATTAAAGTCTCCAAACACGCTCAGCAACGCACGTCGGACGTCAATAGCCTCCGCATCTGACGCGCTTAAAAGCTCCAGCCATCAAGCTCAATCAATGGCGCGTCACCCCCAGTGATGTCAGCGCGGAGGCCACGCGCGGCCGCCGAAAAATGAACGTCGGCATTCAACGCCCCCCCCCCCCCCCCCTCACCTCGCGGATAGCAGCACATTAAGCAAGCCCAGCAGGCACACGAGGAGCGCCCGGGAGCCGTGGTTGACGGCCCTCAGCCGGGCGGCCACGCGGGTGCGCGAAGTGCGCAGCTTCTGCCGCCAGCGCCGGCTGGCGCGCTGCTCCAGCGCGGCCTCGTACGAGTCGCCGCTGACGGCGACGAGACACATGGCGGCCGCCGAACACGTCGCCGGGGTCGACGGGGAGACGGGGTCGACGGGGAGACGGGGTCGACGGGGAGGCGGGGTCGACGGGGAGACGGGGAATCGCTGTCGAGTCCGTGTGGGACCGCGGAGAACCCGTGGAAAGTCCGCCGAGCGTCGATGGCGAGTCAGAAGAGAGTCGATGGAAGTCAGCGGAGCGTCGGAGGTGAGTCGGCAGAACCGATGGAGAGTCAACAAAGTCGATGGAGAGCCAGCGGAGCGTGGGAGCACGACTCGGCGACCGGCGGCGCGGCGCGGAGCCGGCGCGGCGTCGCCGGTCGCCTTTATAGCCCGCGCCGGCTCGCCCGCGTCACGTGATAACGCAGGACCCCTGTCACCGTCCAGCTTGATATCTCGGGCAGGCTCGCTCGCGTCACGTGACAACGCAGGACGCCTGCCGCCAGCCGTAGGGCCACAGAGGGCCGCGGGCGCTGCACCGCCAGTGCAAGCCTCGAGTTAACGTCTCTAGTCCGCAAACATGTGGATCGACCAGGCTGGTCAGAACGAGTGGAAATGCTGTCACCTAACAGTGCCTGGACGGCCACAGCTGGTACGCCTAGGTGTCTGCGTGGGTACACCTGGCGGCACGATTTATGATCTAGTGTCATGATTTATGACCTGGCGTCATGTTTTACGTTGCTGTGAGCAAACCGATCAATAGATGGCGTAAGTAACATCGTTTTGACCCCTGCCCAGAAAGAAATGATTCCAACAAAGCCACCGTCAAACTGCGCGTTACAAGCTGCAGGGTCAAATCGGGCCTGAAACAGGTCGGAGGCTGCTGTAAACTTGACCCCATCATTGCGTGTTAGTGTTGTTGCATCATTGCATTGCGTGCGTGAGACCCCATCATAGATTGGCGGCTAGAACGTCGCAACATTTTGAACAAAGCGGGCTTAGAAACTGCCATGGCGTGCACTTATGCTTGACAACGATCAAAGGCTTGCCAATGATCGAAGTGACGCTACAGGACAAGCTGTCTTGGTTGATACGGGATCCCGGTAGTTGCCAAGACTTGTAGCCATTTATTTCGCATGATAACGCATACGCAACTGATTTATTCGAAACAAACTGCACGCCAAGCTAGCACACGCCACATCTGCTGCTCTCGCTCGAACATTAGGGTCCATGGATACGTCCGACTTATATCATTTGCGTCGCTCTGTGTCCGCACTTGACCTGAACGACCACCACGGCGGATTCAGCATCAAATATTGGGAGGATCAAGCTTCAAGTTCCACACCGATCACACAAAACCAAAATATAACGCCCCAAACCGTTCTGCCTTTTCCATAGTCGTCCGCCTCCGCTCCTCACGCCAGTCCGAGAAGCTCGGGCCGGGTGACCTGGCGTCGGGTGACCAGACCCCGCCACCGGGTGACCTGGCGTCGGACCCCAACCACGCCGCCGGGCGACCTGGCGCCAGACCCCGACCCCGCCGCCGGGTGACCTGGCGTCGGACCCCAACCGCGCCGCCGGGTGACCTCGCGCCAGACCCCGACCCCGCCACCGGGTGACCTGGCGTAGGACCCCATCCGCGCCGCCGGGTGACCTGGCACCAGACCCAGACCCCGCCGCCGGGTGACCTGGCATCAGACCCAGACCCCGCCGCCGCGTGACCTGGCATCAGACCCAGACCCCGCCGCCGGGTGACCTGGCATCAGACCCACACTCCGCCGCCGGGTGACTCGGCGCCAGACCCCGGCCCCGTCGCCGGCTGCTCGCCGGCAGCTGCGGGGCCTCGGCCCGCTGCCCGCCGCGGCCGTTGCCACGACGGCGACCGACCGGGCCGCACCTGTGTCACCAGGTGGACGCCCTACGATGCTTCAGTCAGGTTCCATTGACAGCGCCGCGTTCGCAGCCGATCGGGAAAGAAGGAGGCGATCTGGGGCTCGCCACGGACGCCCCTCCTCCCCTTCGCGATGAGCGGCGCAAAAATCTCTGCTGGGTTCTGAGGCCAGCTAGCTGCGGGCGCTCGGATCCGTGCCGTACCCCAACTCGCGAGAGCTCCTCCTGACCGCTGGTGCGGAGTCAGGGCGCGATGCTCGGGTTATCTCATCCCTGTCCGGCCCTGGTCATCTGCGGCAGCCGCCGCTCCGTGCCTGCCCCGCCTGGTCCGCTGCCTTGCACGCGTGCGGAACACGCCCGTCACGCCACGACCGGTGTGGCCCGGCGCCGCGTCGCCTGACGGTCGGGGCCGCTCCGGTCACGCGGTTAAGGTCTGGCGCCCGGTCAAGGTCCGCCGATATCCGTCGACAGGCGGCGCTATCCATCCACAGGCGGCGGTGAACGACCTTCGTCGAAACTGGCCGGAAACCGGGCCAGAAGAGTCGCGCGACGACGGA